TTATAGTCTGTTGTTTCTAAAAATGGTGCTGCCGCTGGTATATCTGTGTATACAGATTCATCTTGACCGGCTTCTAGTAATAGTACTGACCAATTTTGATTTTCGGATAAACGGTTTGCAACGACACAGCCCCCTGGACCGGCTCCAATTACAATAAAATCATACTCACGTAATATTGGTTTATTACCTAAATAAGTATTTTCCCTAAAGGGTATTCCTTGCTGTAGATACTGCCCATATATCGACTGAAATAATTCCACAAGTATTGAAGATGAAGATGAAATAAAAAATAAAAATATGAGAATAATTTTCATCATGAACTAAGAGTCACTGTACTTGACCACGAACAACAAATGTCAGTGTCAAATCCTTGAAACTACTGTTATTTTAGGTCAATCTCCCCACTATATATACTTTTTACTAAATGTTTGCAAATATACTGTTACTCCTACTACACCTGTCCAACTAATATTTTATATCATTTCATATGATTTACTGGTTTAAGATGGACAATCATGAACTAGGTTATTGAACTTATATATAGGTTATTTGATATTAGCATATTTTTTTTTTTTTTTGTATAAACACATTAGATACCCAATTTGAACAAACAATTTACGGATATTTAAACTTATTTATTTTCTAAAGTAAATTATAAAGTTACTTAATTATTTGATCACTTATAATTTATAAACTATTTTATTATTGTCAAATAAAAATTAATTAATTTTCATTATAATATTCTATTTATATTTTTTTTAAATGTCAGTTATAGTTATGATTGAATAATAGTAAAATATAATATATACCTACTAATATTTTCACTGCTTATTTGCAATAGATACTAATCAAAATGTCAAATGTTTGAAAACGTGAAAAAGCTTTTTTATTGAATAATTTGTTTTTGTGTTTGATAATACCGTACACAAGTTAATTATGACTTGACTGACTTTTAAAATTATAAAATTAGAGAAAACAGTACTAACAATCTCACTTTTTTACAATTCCTTTCACCTTTAAAAAATAACCCAACCTATTCAAATTGAGGGTAATAGTATTTTTAAATAGTTTATTTTTAGGTATGATTGATGTTATTCCCCCCCCCCCCAACCGGGCATGGCAGAAACCTACGGGTGCCCAACTAAAAATTCTGCGAAATAAGCGTCCGAACTAGGTTTCCAGGCCTACTCCCGGACATAAGTGCCATACGCAAAAAAAAAAAGATGTAGTTTTCAAAGACATTTTCTTATTTTTGTTTTACTTAAAATATTATTGTTTACATATTTAATTTTTTTATGTTATTTATGTAAAACAATTCAAAATACGAGTATGTTCTATTTTATTTGTTTAAAAATTATTATGAATAAAATTAATATTTTGTGTATAGTCGTATAAAAAATTAAAAATATAATCTTAAACTAAAATCAAAGAATCTCATATTATTTTCATTATAGGTAGATTACTAAGTTCATTTTAATTGATAAACTATAGGGCTTAGAATTTTTAAAAATATATAAATTTAATACGCGGTTTAATAAGTTTATACCTACAACGGAAAAAATAAGTTGCGGTATCCATTTTTACTAGGTATCTATTGACTTTAAATCATGGTATTTTATCCCTTAATTATATTTATTCATTTCAATTTGCGTTAAAGTAAACTGATTCATAAATAAAAAAGGAAAGAGATAACATTTGAATTTCTATTATACGTTAATGGAAGTAGATGTTACCTATAATACTGGAATTTGATTCCGTATAGTGATTTTGGGATCTATTTAATTAGATTATAGTATATTAATAATATGTAATATATATCCCATATTAAATTTAAGATTATTATTAACAGAGGCAACTATTTGGCATTAAAATATTCTAATTAGATTGAAATTACTAGCCCGACCACATTTTAACGTCCGCTTTACATTAGCTCTTAATAAATTTATTTTTATTCAGTTAAACTAGTATGTGTATGGGTACCTAATGTCTTGCCTTTCATTTGGATTACTAGTCAGTCATGATAGAATCTCTTGTATTGAATTACCATAGAATAGAATGTAAGTATTGAAATTATAATCACATTATATTTAATTATTTAAAAATAAAAATATAACATTATATTTATTACATAAAGATTAATGTATATCATATTAAAGTTTTTTAGATACCTTATAATTATTGGATGCAACTCAATAATTATACTTATTATTAATCTTTAAAACTCTTTATTATTTTTTCGTAATATCCAATTGAAAATATTTTGTGTTAAATAACTTGTTTGGGGTTTTTTGTTTTAAAGAGAAGGGAAAGGTTAAATCTACTCTATGCATATTAAACATTTTACCTATTAACTATTAAAAATAATTTATTAGTTATTGAGTGTACAAAAATCAAATGATGCTATGTAGGTATATATATTTTTATTTATTTATTTCGTATGGTATATAAAATAAATACATTATACTGATACAGTATTACATTAAAATCTTAAATTGTAGTAAATCATAAAAGATGAATGATAATAAAATAATATAAAATAAAATCTTAATTTTAATTTTACAAGTCTAAGTTTAATTTGTTTAACCACTCTATTACCTACTTGGTATTTAATAGATTTTTACAATTTTTTGCTCAAATAATCTCTTTGTGAACGTTTCCACAGAAATTTAGAGTTCGTTCTGTTGCTCTGCAGTCAAATGTTGAATTATTCTTATAATTTTATTTGAATATGATCGATTCACTCTCTCCACATATCCTATCCTAGTGGAGTTAATTATTGTTGTCCATTTATGTTTTGGAAAAACATGCCTTTTAACCATGGACATTTTTATATACTAATTTATATATATTCATAACATGCTTAAAAATAATTATTTCGTAAAAACCGATAAGAGAACATAGATAATGTTTTTACCATAAATTTTGATAAAAGTTATTTTACTCTAATATTTAAGCTAAACCTACAAATTAGTTCTACTTTTTAATGAACTTTTACCATGTTATACATCTGTAAGTCGAAGAAAACACATGCAAGTGTGGCGTTCTTTTAATCTTTCAAATCAATGATAGTGGATATTATGATTCTATTGTATTACAGATCAAAGACCATCAACATTTTTTAGTAGAATAAAAGTACGAGTATACTTGCCGGCTGCCAGTTTTTAAAGGGTTTTTACAGTATATGTTATTTAATGCAGGAATAATAAATATATGTTTTAATTTTTAATCCGCTCAGAAGACTCACTTCATTAACTCAACCAGACTTTTTAAATTATCTAAAACAAATGTTCTATGATAATTCTATTTTAAAAATAAAAACACTCATCTATAAAATATAAATGTATTATATAATACAAAGTGTAACTTAAAACATATTTATAATATTAAGTTATAAATTATTACTGATACAATTATTTTGTTTTATTTTTATCACAGACAATGGCTTACCTATTTAATTTTTAAATATCTAAACTTAAACCATAATACCCCAATCTTCTTTAATTAGATCTGATCCTTTTTCGGCAATCATGATAGTTGGTGCATTCGTATGTGCAGATATAATTTCAGGCATAATTGAGGCATCAATAACTCTTAGTCCTTTAAGTCCGTGAACTCTTAATCTTGGATCAACCACAGCTGTAGGATCTCCTATTGGTCCCATTTTACATGTTCCAGATAAATGATATATGGTAAATGTCAGGTGTCTGGCTGCACACTTCCAATAATCGTCTGAGTCAAACTGAAAATGTTCACAACCCGGTATGGGCTCTTTCCATAATTTAGCATCAACACGTTTGAAGGCATTCATTTGTGATAATCGTTCACTTATTCTTACACCTCCTACTATTATATCGAGATCTCTTTCGTCAGAAAAATAATTTGGGTAAATTGCTGGGTATCGAAATGGGTTACGGTCTTTTAGTTCTATCCATCCTTTGCTTTTTGGTCTCATAATCATTGGAAATATCATGTATGTATTTTTTTGTTCTGTTTTTTTAAAAACACTATTATATACACTATCCTTAACGCCAAATGATTTTCTAAGCGTTTCATCTGAGCTCACCGCGCCATTAATAAATAATAATTCGAGATTAGGATGGCCATCAACATCATTAATATTATTTAAGTCAAAGAAAGCTAGTGCTTCGGTTCCTCCTGCTACTGATATAGGTCCCTTATGATATTTTAAAAAATTGTGTATGTTATTGGGATCTTCCAAAAGCCTTTGCCTTCTTATTGAACTTGTATCGTTTACAGTAAATGTTAAACCTCCCAATGCTACATGATCCATTAGATTACGGCCTACCTGTAAATCGCGTAAAACATTAATACCTTTTGATATTAAGTGATCTTTTGGTCCAATCCCTGATAACATGAGTAATTGTGGAGAATTAACTGCTCCAGCTGAAATAATAACTTCTTTGCGTGCAAAAACTCTATAATTTTTATTTCCTCTATAATATTCTACTCCAATTGCTCTATGGCCAGTTGTATCAAACAATATCCGAGTTACATGACTTTTTTTTTTTATAAATAAATTTTTCCGTTTGCGTATAGGATGAAGAAACGCTACATTAGTACTATATCGTAATCCGTTTTTCATAGTCAATTGGTGAAAATTAAAACCTATTTGATTTTTTCCATTTAAATCTCTTACAGGATATCCAAGCTCATATCCGGATTGAACAAATGACTTGGCTAACGTACTCTTGTATGGTGATTCTGATACTGAAAGGAATCCTCCCTCTTTATGGAAATTATAATCTCGAAGAGTAATATTATTTGCATCTTCTGATTTGAGAAAATACTTTTGCACTGCATCTGCATTCCAACCTAAAACATTTTTAGTAAAAATATGTTTTATTCATAAAATATTTTTTTGTATAATTTTTATTTTACTTACCAACATTTCCTGCATTGGCCCATCCATCATAATCTTTTTTGTGGCCTCTGGTATATATCATATAGTTCAGTACACTTGAACCTCCCATTACCTTACCTCTTGGAAAATTGCACTGCCTGTTTATATGACCTAAAACATTGAATTTTATTTTTAGGTGGGTGTTGTGGATCAACCAGAAAAACAACAGTTGTTGGTGGTTGGGCATGGGCTTGGTGGCTTATTACAGATGTTCAATATCTGTCTCTTGAGGTAATTATAATAATAGGTATAACAGTATATATTTTCATTATTTAAATTTTATATATTTTTATGTTTTAGGTTATGACTTTAAATCCCGTATGTGATACCGTTGAAACTGTTCATGGAGTTGCGTTAACTGTAACAGGAGTAGCTCAGTGTAAAATAATGAAAGCTGATGAACTCCTACAAACAGCATCTGAACAATTCCTTGGTCGAACAACTAATGAAATTAAGCAAACTGTGCTTCAAACTCTAGAAGGTCATTTAAGAGCTATATTGGGTACTTTGACAGTCGAAGAAGTGTATAAGGATAGAGATCAATTTGCATCTCTTGTTAGAGAAGTTGCTGCACCTGATGTTGGTCGTATGGGGATTGAGATATTATCATTTACAATTAAAGATGTTTTCGATGAAGTTCAATATCTAACTTCACTTGGAAAATCACAAACTGCAGCAGTTAAAAGAGATGCAGATATTGGAGTTGCACTTGCTAACCGTGATGCAGGTATTAGAGAGGCTGAATGTGAAAAGTTGGCAATGGATGTAAAATATGGAACAGATACAAAAATTGAAGATAACTCAAGAATGTTTAAGCTTCAAAAAGCTAAATATGATATGGAAGTCAATACTGCAAAAGCTGAGGCACAGTTAGCATATGAATTACAAGCAGCCAAAATAAGGCAAAAAATCAGAAATGAAGAAATTCAAATTGAAGTAGTTGAACGAAAAAAACAAATTGAAATTGAAGTACAGGAAGTTGAACGTAGAGAAAGAGAACTGAATTCTACTGTGAGGCTGCCTGCTGAAGCTGAAAGTTATCGTGTTCAGGCAATTGCTGAAGGAAAGAGGTAAAAATAAAATTATTTGTTAATTTAAAAAAAAAATACAATGCATAATGTTTATAAATTGTTTTAGAACTCAAACAGTTGAAGTTGCAACAGCTGAAGGTGAACGGATTAAGAAAATTGGGCTTGCTGAAGCTTCTGCTATAGAAGCCGTTGGTAGAGCTGAAGCTCAAGGAATGATGTTAAAGGCACATGTGTTTAAACAGTATGAAGAAGCAGCTGTTATGTCTTTAATTATGGACGCATTACCAAAAATTGCTGCTGAAATAGTCGCGCCATTGTCTAAAACTGAGGAAATTGTTTTATTAAGTGGAAACAGTAATGTAACAGCAGAAGTTAACAGATTAGTGGGGCAATTACCCCCAGCTGTTCAAGCTTTAACTGGTGTTGACTTAAATAAAGTCTTAACAAAAATTCCTGGTGTCAAATAGAATTTTTACATAGAATTGTGATTTACAATTTCTATTAAATTTTTTATATTTTAAGTTTAATGTAACATGATCAAAGACATTTATAAGCTTGTCAAACTTCGGTTTTAAATATCCGTTATTTATTTTGCCATTTTATGGATAATCATAATAAAGAATTATTTAGTCATTATATGTTACCCATTTTATTTATTTTTGTTTAATTTTGCTTAATTGGATACATTTAACATTTTACAATATTTATTATTATTCTCTAGCACTTCATTTTACTTTTTACTTTTTCAACTTTTAACAAATGTAATTAAATTAACTATAAATGTGTTTATTATATATTTTTAATATGTGTATGTATATTTGTATTAAAATTGAAGTTAGACATTATTGATAGACAATCCTATTGAATAATTCTAACTGTTGTGTTTTTTTTTGCTCAGCTAAGTGCCGTGTTGATTAAAATGTGTTGCACGGGGCTGTGGATTGTTATCAATTTCCTCTTATTTTATTTATTTATTATAGTATAAGTGAAGTAATTTACTATCAAAGTGTATCATTATGAAGCAATTTCACCCTTTCCATTACATTAACACAGCACTAGCTTAGTAAAATTTTAATTGTATTATCAAGTTAAATAAAACATATTTTTATAAGATTTTTCCAAATTTATACTATGGTAATAACAATATTGATAGCTATATCCTAAAAAGAAGTTATGAAATTTAAAAAAATATTTCATTGTAATAGTACATATTTTTTCAATAATTATTTTCATAAATTATATTTATTTTTTATTTTTTTTATTTAATTTACTATTAGATATTGTTATTAAAATTGTAGTTAAAAAACAATCAATTTTAAAATTAGTTCTAAAACAGCTACAAGTTCTAAAAAATTAACTTGTGTACATTTTGATTGATTTTATTAAATACTAATATTTATTTACCTGAAATAATACTTGGCCTTTTTTATTATTATAAAAAAAGTTAAATAAGAAGTGTTGAACATTATTTGGTATTATTTGTTTATAATAGAAAAACAAATATTTACATGTTTAATGTGTATGTAAAGCAAGTAGTTAATTAAAAGTGTAGTATCCAGTGAACATGCATTTTTAAACAAAGACAGTTTTTTTTTTAAAATTTTTGAACGAATTTCATGTGCTTATGAACATTAGTTATGTGTTTTGTATGAGAGATTTAATGAAAAATAAATATAATATAGTTTATTAAGAGGACATGCACCCCAGAAAAATAAATAAAACCTTTTTATACTTCCAGTACCTAATACGACTTACTGAAGGGTTTTTATGAGAAAAAAAAATAAAAATAAATTTAACAAAAACTTGGATTTTTGATGAGTTAATTAGATGCGATTTGTGAAGTCAATTATTATATATTATATAACCTAACCTAATCTAACCTAATCTTATTCTGTTAAAAATTATGAAAATTGAAAAAAAGCAATTTTTAATAAAAGGTAGTATTTAATTTATTGTTGTGTACATAATGTACTCTTAGATGTATTTTTAAAACATTATATTGGTTTAGTTACCAATATAGTAAAAAATTATAAAAAAATTACATTATTGAACTTCTATGTATAATTAAAAACATGAAAATTTTAGAAGATAAAAAAAATACAGTTCATAAGTATATAATTATATCTGTAGGTGTATTTATTTTAAATGAAGAAATAATACATTTGTATCCGCATATACAAATATACAATATGAAAGTTTTTTCTAGAAATTATTATTTACAATTTTTTTTTTTTTATTTATATTTGTCTAGCGTTTTATGTAAATTTACTACAAGGTGTATTATAGGTAAATAGGATAGATTAAAACATAACAGTTCAACGTAAGAGACAGAAACACTAATAATTTTACCTATATTAATTTAGTCGCGTTGATTTATTATGATTACCTATCTGTTGTATATTATTTTATTATGGAATAAATAAGTATCATATTTGAATTATATAAGTAATAAAGCAATAAATATGAATCGAGCTATGGTATTACATATTTTACGATCTATAATAATTTAGTATACATTTAAATGCCAGCTGACAGCAGTAACTTAAATTTTAAGTTAGAACGTGGGTACGCGGTGCGTGATTATCAAGAAAATAGTACGGTGACATAAACAACCGCGTTCAGAAGAACGTCCATTTTATATTATTATGGAATAATAATTAATTAGCAATATTTTTTTACATTCCCTGACAAGTAGCCGTCGACCGGTCGCCGACTGCCACTTGTGGGCGTGGTTTAACGTCGCGTGCTACGGATCGCAAAAACACTAAACTTGTCAGCGTATTTTCTCGATCTTGTATTCGTTTCGCTTTGAATGGCACGTGCTCTTAAGTGTTTCTGTGGATCACCTACGGAGTGGCATCGAACCCGGACCTTTTTTATGAAGCAAAATCTACATTTTTTGTCCCACCCACTTTTCACTAATCTAATATGATATAAAAATACAAATAATAATTGTTTGTTTTTTTTTTTTTTAATTTTTTATTTTTATTTTCTACACGATTACGCATGTATTATAAACCCACGGCCTACCCACCCGTTTAAGAAGTGAAGCGATCGCTTCACTTGACACGAGTTCAGTGCCACTGCGCACCTATGGATCGTAGGTATTATCTCAGCTAATGGTTTAATAATTTATAGATTGAGGCGATTTTTTTTTTTAAATTTATTGGTATCTATAGGTATTTTATGTTCATTTTATATCAAATGATTGGATATTTATAATATATTATTGTTGTTGATGAATAATGATTACGCGTTTACACCTACATGTAGATATAGGTACACTATACATATCATATAAGTTGATAATTTGATAAATTCGTAAGATGTGTGGTGTTCATGAACCCACTGAATAAAAGGTACTCTTTATATATATATATATACCTTTTTTATATATTACCTTTGCAATAATTGTCGGAGGGCATTGTTTTGTACTTCCAATTAGCTTCGGTGAACTGCAACATGTTTGCTAGCAGAGGGATGTCCATCACGAAGTGCTCTTCTTCACCGGCTTCGATCAACAATACATTCCATGCGCGCACCTGAAACAATAGTAGGCGTGCCGTTGTACCATCTGTTGATTCGTAATTCGTATTGTTATTTATTGGGATGCAAGACCTAACCGTCTCTTCTAAGGCGTCAAACATGGGTACACAATATTGTTAAACATGTCAAGTCGTTTAACGTAGATAGGTTACTCGTTGATCATTATAACCCAGCCTGGGATTGCGAAAAACCTTAATACGTAGTAACAACGACCGTGATTATGCTAGATATGGTAATTTATGTTTATTTATGAAATAATTGTTTATTGCATTTCAAAAACATGGTAGGTATAGGTATTTTCAAAGTTATCCGTCGTACTAGTTCTTTTTTTTGTCATGGTCGCTTCACCCACATTAAATATAACTATTATTATAAGTTATAACTATAGATACTACTATTAGTAAGTAGTAATATTTTTCTGACTGAACTTTTCTCAAGATAAAAAATAGCTAAGACATCATCGAAAATACTTCAAAGATTCCTACTTACTGAAGGTACTTAAAAAAGTAGGTACTCTAATTCAATGCTTAAAAAATGTTTGATTTTGAATTTAAATACTTTTTATTCGAATACTTTACAACACTGTTTAGGAAGGTCTATGAAATGTAAGAGATGATTGATACACATCATTACTATCATAATATTATATTCATGTAACAATATGTTCGCTTACTTCCGACAATCGATTGGCCACTACTGCTCCGGCGGAACCAGCGCCGACTATGATGAAATCATATTCCTTCAACTCGTTTAGTTCGTCTCGCGTCTGATGTCTAGTGTAATCTATGCCTTCCACTAAGAAATCAAACAAGTCTTCTAAAAGAGGCGGGAATTCTGTGACCATACTATCCAGTTGATTGATGTGCACTGCGAACAGCACAAATATGATGGCCGGCTTCCACATTGGATATCTAAATATCTTTTCGCAGAAGGTCATTTGCAAAAACCACAAATCAGTAAACTCTTAATCCGCACACACCTACAACATTATAAAACATTATATATGAGTCTAATGGTGCTTATTAAGTTTTGTTTAATAATGTATTCCTTATCTGATACATATACATTGTTTAAATCTGGGTTTTAATTTTGAATGGGTTAAAATTTCAATCTATCCAGTAACATGATCCAATTTCTGTAAGGCATTATCGATTATTATTATTCTAGACTCTCGGTAAATGGAATTTTAGAAGTTTCTAATTTTGAGATAGTATCAACTAATAATCCAAAATTAACAGAAATAGACGCTGAATTGTTTTGCAAGTTATTAAGTTCCATGAAATCGATAGTTTTTTTTATTGCAATATCAGCATCGGAATTTAAATTTAAAACAATATTTTTTAATTTTTTCAAAGTTATTCAAGTAATATAACTAATATAAGACAACTGATAGTCGCATACCCCATTGAGTTATATGAGTTATAATATGTTAGGGAGGCACGGTTAAATTTGGATACAAATCTTTAAATGTTTGTACACGATTGAGTGCTTTTAAATTTATTTTTTTACGTTGAAATAAAATTAATGAATCAACCTCAGAAAATCGAAATTTAGTTGTTTCTGTCATGCGATGGAAACCATGTACTAGACAAATTAAATGTACCGTCCATTCTTAGATGTATCTAACACTTTTTCTGTCTTGTATATATTAAATTTTGCGGCGTCCGTTAAAAGTAATAAAAAAATTTATATTATACCATTTAGTCACAAAACACCAATTACATTATTAAATAATTGATACATAATTTTGTGATGGCATTTATCTAATTATTCACAATATAAAAAAAATGGTTTAGATGGTTCAATGTTCAATTTTTTTTATTTTACTTAAATATTTAAAATAAAATAATCATCAGTTTATTCAAAATTTAAAAAAATATATTGAAAACATTCCGATGTTAACACTACATAAAAATATTTATTTAAATTAAAAATAAAACCCGTTTTCCAGTTATAAGCATAATTTGAATGACACTTATTTCTGGATTTAAAATTAAATTCAAGGATTTGCAAGATCATCGAACTCGCAATATTATATCATTCAATAACTTAGGTATAATAGCTGACAGGTGGTGACTATTCAGTCTATTCACATTTAGGTACATATGTATATTAAAATAAGTATAATAGCTATTATTATGAAAATAAGCAACACATTTTTGTTATATATGTATTACTAATGTAAATGTATTATATCGATATATTATACATTTCAAATTTTGATATTATTTGAAGGTCATCAAAAATCACCGATTTAAATTTTCTGACATATTATACTTAAACTATTTTTATTTTTTTATAAAATACATAATTATTTCTCTGATTAGATACTATATGTTATTAGTATTTTTATCTTTACATATTTTATAAAATTAATAATTTTCAAAAGTAATTAAAATATACATTTTGGAATTATTTAATAAACTTAACTTTAATAGTTTTTCAAGGTTATATCTATGAATTATTTATGTAAATTATAATTTATAACTCAAATATAGAAACTATTATTCAAATTGATGATTGAGCTTTTTTTATTTCGAAGCATTCAAGTACAAATTAATTACTAATTAGTTATTGTAGTAATATCGTGCAAGCTAGATACCTCTTTTCGATCACCATCAGGGAGCTTTATTTGAAGCAGTTAGTTTTTAAAACTACAAAATTATAATACAAATAATAATTATAATAATAATTTACTCTTAAATATTATAATGGTATTAGTTAAATTTTAAAATATTTTTATTGTAATAGTTTTAAGTGTTTAGTTTATATATATAATTTTGGATTTAGCTGCAGATAATCAAATAACAATTAAAAATAAAAGTAATAACTAATTTAAAAAATTTAAAAATACTATTCATTATTCATATTTTAATATTGATAATTTATATATTATTAAAATTATGTATGTACTCGTACATAGTATTAATTGAAATTTTTCTGTTATTTTGAATTTTGTTTTAATATTTTAACACATAATTTTTTTTGGAATCCATTTTAATTAAAACATGTAAACTGTTTATTTGATTGTGTTTATGAATCAACTACATTTAAGATTATATACAAACATAGATATTATTTACAATAGAGTAAGCCGTAATTGATAATTAAATAATCTCGCATTTCATAATATGTATACGATAAAACAAACATAACGAATGATAAAACTCAACTAAATAAACTAAAAATAAACGTTTATAAAAATTTTGTAGTGCAGATAATTGATGTGTGGATAATTGACACTTTACTGTATCTATAAATCATAGCCAGAAAATGTATTGATTACAGCATTATTAGGTGTAATCATGAGAAAATCATCAGATAGTGGTGGTGATTAAAAAAATATTTATTTTTTACATAATTTAAAATCATGAAAATGTAGTCAACTAAATGTTAGAAAGAAAAATGATGTTTTCATTAACTACTCCTATATTAATACGAGGTACCTCGAAAAACGTTGGTACACTACTCCAGTCATTTAAACATTTTTCTTACTTTATTTAAAATATACAATTTATATTCTATACAACTAATTTTTAATAATCATATTCAATATGATAATTATTTGAAACGAATGATATGATTAAAGGAATTACCCATTAGTCAGCAATACAATTTAAAATGTGACATCTACGTAGATATATAGTATACATATAATTTCTCATTAAAAATTCGTTTTTTATATACCAAAATAATTCTTAAAAAAATATTTTGATTTGAAACATGGTATGAATGTACACTATTATTTTTTATTCAAAAAATTAAAAAATTTCAGGTATTATATCGATAAAATATATATTATATTTCTTTAAACTTTAAAGTATTGTTTACTATAATCACTTTTGAAAAAAAAAATCTACAACAATTTTAATACTTTTTGATAATATAATTATAAGTGTTTTTTAAGTAAGATTCTGTATTTCCAATCATTTTGAATCTATGGTTTTTATTGATTATGCTAATTAAAATTTCTCTAAGTTATTTATTTGTTTTTTATTTACTTGCCTATATCTAACCATGAATACTAAAATTGACTCATTGTAAATTATAATGGTTGGTAATTCGAAACAAATATTCATGATTAACTTTTCTACCATTGACCACCTACGGAATCGAAATATGAGATGTAGTAAAGTTATCAATAAAATAGCAGCCTTGCAGTTATTCTGATTAACATCACTTTGAACAATAACCGAATATTTGCCCCATGGTTTGTAAGTAACCTCACACTACACAATGACCTTAACATACTCATTATTCAATATTTTTAACAAGCCTCAAACACTTTTTAATAACTAAAAACCATTCTGATCCGATTATGTTTATTAATTATATTCTAGTAAATTTTAAAAACCATCTAAGTGCTTCATACGAATTTTTTATATATATATATATATAATATATATATATTTATGTTTTTAGTATTAAAAAAAGCGTTTCGATAGTTTAGAAATAAAAATACATATAATTTTTTAGTTAAAACATTCTTCACTAAAATTATAATCTAAAATAGTTTGAATAAATAAGTAGTTAACTTATATTTAAACGGCTGAAGTTTTTTTTTTTGTTAAATCAATTAAAATTATATTGGATATAATCTAAAGAATACCATATTTTTAATACTTATAAAATTTTATCAAATAATATCAAATATTGATTTTAAAACTATACGTGAGATTTTTTTATCTGTTATATCACTTTTTGGAGCAATAAAATTGTTTAAAACTATAACTCTGAGTGTAATGTCTGGCAGAAACTTGAATCTTATTGGTACTTTTAGAAGCTCAAAAAAAAAAAAAAACTTTAATAAAAATGTTATAAAACTATTTGTTGATAAAAATTATTTTTTTTTTTTATGTATTCTAAATTCTAAAGTAATAAACGTAAAACATTTTTAGAAATAATATTTATTTATTATTTAGTTATTTTAGTATAATTTTAAAAATATTTTGTGATATTTATAGATATTTTTAATTTATGTATGATAGTTTGAAAGTATAATTCAATTTTCCTCAATTCTTAAGTTAAGTTAGGTTTAGTAACCTAGTTTTGTTTACTATAATTTAAAAAATAACGAAAATATTTAGTCTGTTTTTTTTTTTTTTAAAAAAACGTTTGAAGTTCTAATTTTGCGAACAATGATTTTTTCATTGGTTTCAGCTATTTTGTTGTGATTTAAAAACATAAATAATAGGGACTATAAATTTATTTATGATATTTTTTGTTATTACGCACCCATATTATTATTTTATATACCTATACAATTAAATTTTCAAAATAATTAAATTAACGAATTTAATGTTATTTATACCGTGATCCTATTCATTCTACGCTAAGGTACATTGATATTGTCTTAACATTTATGAGGTAATAATGATATTGTATTATAATTTAATCTCATAATAATTATTATATAATATTATATTGACTGTTTTTGTCAAAACTAATTCAAAATAGCACGTTAGTAATGGAAAAATAAATTATATTATTAACAATTAATATATCGTTCGCATTCATAATTATTTTTATAAATATCTAATAATTACTCATCATTGAATTCAAATTTTCCTTATAGGTATTACAGTCATCTATACTTAATCATAAGGTATACTAAAAACTTATTATACAGCAATGCAACATTATTAGATTTCTTTTTGTTTAAATTTTAAAATATTAAGGCAGAAAAATGAAATAATTTATATTTTTTTATGCTTAGATATTGTTTATATTGAGCAGAAAATTAGTTTATGAATTATGAATTAACAAGCATCGTCGTTTGTCTATACACAGATGCTAATAGTCTGTGTAAAGAATAAATTAATTTAATATTAAAATCGTAGTTTAACGGTAAATGAATCAACTCATTGCAAAAAAATGATTATAAATGCTGGAAATCTAGTTGATAAGTATAAATGTTAAATTTGAAAAATTTATATTTTAAATTTTATGTTATATGTAATTTTTAGTCACGATTTTTGT